TGACAATCAGCACGCCCCCCAAAAGAAGGCCGCAGCGAAATCACTAAACGCCCCGAAACCGAAAGCCTGCGTCGATGACGGCAGCGGCGTTGATGCGGCGGAGGAGAAGGATGATGAGGCAAAAAGAGCCGAAGCATCGGCAGAAGCTATCGAAGTCCCAGTTGAAGCCATCCCCGTGCCTGCAGACGGAGAGGAGACACCATCGACAAACCCAGCGCTGCGAGCGGACGAGAAGGCGGTGGGCAAGAAGAAGGCGCCACCAGGTAAGAAGAGAGCCCCGGTGCAGGTTCCGGCCATGTGTAACAGTGCCCTTCCGACACCCGGGGGAGATACACCGACACATGCTGCATCAGCTTCTAGCCCACAGTCCCACGACACTGTAGCTGCGGACGTAGAAGCAGCAGCTGCCGGGATATATCACAAGTCGAGGTTGAGGAGACGAGTGAGGCAGCCCCTTCTATCCGGACAAGCCCAGAACTTCGATCGCCCACCATCGCGAAGAGAAAGCGCGCTGGTACCAGATCATCAAGGAAGCGCCGCCGACGTATCCTTCACGGTGAGAGCGAGGAAGGAGAAGACGATTCGGTACGTTATGTTTATGTATTCATTATAACGTTTGTTCTGACGAAGGGTATTCAACATAAGACTAACATAAGACGTCACTGGTTTTGAGTGCAGGCTCAATCCAGTGGTCCCGAAGACGGTAACCCAGAGGCGACAACGGCGATACCAACGTGCTTTGTCGACGGAGACCCCAACATGATGGACTCGGGAGCTCAGACGTGCACCGGCATCAACTCAGATGAGGATGAAGATCTGCATGAAGAGGCTGAAGATGAAGACGATGCGGGAGATGATGACTGCACCTGGGTTGCGGACTGGAAAATTGGAGAGCTGACCGACGAGGATACTGATGAAGAACAAGATGAGCTTCCTGCGTCTGCGTGGTCGTCAGTAGCAAAGGTCAGTGAAGCTAGTACGGCAATGAAAGTACCGGGTGGGAGTACGGTACGCTATGGTGGCCAAGCTCAACATAATTGTGTGTGCGGACCGGGACATCCAACAGAAGGACTAACATAATGATGGTTCTGTTGATGTCAGATCCTGCTAAGTTTGGTGCAGACCCCACGTACAAGGACCTGTACGATGGACCGTATGGACCATCAACGAGTGCTCTTGCAGTTGCAGAAGACCCGTTGGCTTTGCTGTTTTACTTTATGCCGCCCAAGCTCTGGCGTCAGATTGCGATTGAAAGCAATCAATATCATTCCCAATCCATTCCACAGCGTGCACGGGCGATTCGGTTCCAACAACGGCGGGCTGGAGGAGAAAAAGAAGAGCTTGGTGATATCAAGCGGCGTATAGCTGGCGTAGCGGACATTGAAGCCTGGGAGGTGCTACGAGTGATGGCCCTGTTGATTGCACGGATGCTGGCACCTATCCGGAAGGGCATTGCGGCTCATTGCTCTCTAAAAAGGGTTGGCGCACTGCCAGCGAATCAATTTGGACAGTTCATGACCAAGAACCGATTCTTTCACATAATGGGCTACCTTCACTTCTCGGGAACAAGTCACCCCAGGCACGGCTCGACCGAGCATGGAAAATACGGCCTGTTGTTGACGTGCTACAACGAACTTTCGCCCGAGGATACCAAGCGCCCCCTGTTTTAAGCTTCGACGAAGCTACGTTGCCGTCCCGTTCCCGGTACAATCCAACTCGCCAGTTCAGCAAGGATAAACCCCACAAATGGGGGACGAAGGTGTTCGTTGCAGCCTGTGCCAAAACCGCGTACTGCATGAGGTGCGTCAAAAAATGATGGCGAGTTTGAACTCGCCATCATTTTTTTTGGTTAAAGTCCTTATGTTGTCTGATGTCAAACATAAGGCATCAAATCTCGCTGGCCATCCAACATTTAGCTAACATAAAGTTTTTTCCCTGGTTTTCACTAGAATTGAAGTATGTTGCGGTGCCAAGGCGCATCTTCAAACCCCAGTGTCTAATGACAACAACACAGGCGAAGCGGCGGTGCTCCGAAACATGAACGCCCTCTATCATCCGTCCACTACTTCGCCGTGGAGACTGGAGATTACCGACCGCTTCTATACCTCTGTAAAGCTGGCACTGGAGCTCCTACACCGGCGAGCGTACCTAACCGGAACGATCTCTGAAGATCGCTCTGGATTTGCAAAAGACGTGGTCACGAAGATGAAAACGAAGACCGTCAATAAGAAAACGGTTACCATCCCAGCACAGGGTACCACCAAGTTGGCCGAAAACAAGCGCTCCCGCAGCTGACAGCCGTCATGTGGATGGATCGAACCCCAGTGCACATGCTGTCCTCTGGTGGCAGCCGACGGCCTGGGGTAGTGAGTATGTTTCTAAGTATTTTGAAGGCTCTAACATCCATACTAATGCTAATGTACTGTAGTGCGTCGTGTCAACGGTGAAATGAAGCCCGTCCCGGCTCCAGAATTGGTGCGGGACTATCACCGCTGGATGGGCGGTGAAGACGTCCATGACCAGCTGAGGATGCAGCGATATAGCGTCCAGCTCTACAAGACGCGAAAGTACTATAAAACTCTCTTTCTCGGGCTGTTCGACATGGCGGTCGTAAATGCCTTCATCGTGTATCGACACTCTCGGAAGATAAACGACCAACGTCCTCCACGACACTTTGCGTTTATGAAAACGTTGATGGAGCAGCTGCTCGCTATCGACTCGACCGAAACGTTCGAGGTGATCGAGGTAAGTTTATGTTGAATCGCATCCAGCACAAGGGTGAGTAAGGTTCTGGTTATCCAGCATAACTGCTAACTTATTTTACGATGCCGCAATTTTAGAGAGCAGCAACCGCTAAGGAACGCACAGCAGCGTCTCCAGCCAGAGGGGAACAGGGGTCGCGTCCGCGCACTGAGAATACTACGGATCCAGTGGAAGGTGACCACAGGCTGGAAGAGAATCCGGATACAGTCCAGCGTGAACAGGGGGTGAAACGCCGCCAGCGCTCTTGTAAGGTGTGCACTGTGTACAAGGTCAAGCCGCGCAAATTCACCAAGTATTTCTGCCCGGAATGTTCAAACGGGAATAAACGGTGGGTGATATTGCTTGTGGTATGGATTGCTACGCTAATGCAACTTGTGGTGGCTGTAGTAAATATATGTGCAATGTGGGCCGCGAGGGCAGAGATACCTGTTTTAGTATATGGCACCTAGAGTGGAATAATGGGAACAACATCCCGAGGACACTGCTCGAGGGACACAAAACACGAGAGCGCCCGCCGGCAACACGACCGGGAAAGAAGCCTAGGCGACGAGCGCAAGGCTCTACTACTGCCAACGCTGGTGGTGACGACGACGACAGCGGGGGAGATGGCGGCGGCAGCGGGGGAGATGGCGGCGGCAGCGGAGTTGGCGAGAGTACTGCTGGGAGTGAAGGCGACGTCGCCGAAATCGAGGCTGGCAGCGTGTCCAGGTGATCAGAGGTGCATGGAGGTGTAAGCAAGGGGTTGTGTCCAAGAGGGTGGCTATGTCCAATGCAATCAATTAATACCACATTTTATATTTCTTTTATTGGCCATAATAAATGAAATCACTGCTGCTGGCCGTGTGCAATGCCACAAAAAACGGGATATAGATAAAAAGGTCACTGCTTATGTTTGTTTTGTCAAGCATAAGCTGGTTAGCAGGTCTCAATCGCTTACATACGCTCCCTTTAAGTTGGAGATGCCGACACTATACCCTCATGTATAATTTATACACCACCCCAACCCGCACGTCAAAATTCGAAATTAGAAGGGAACTCTTACAAATTCTCATATTACTGTTTATGGGACGGAGTAAAAATATACCCTCGTAATAAAGCCTGGGAACTAAGGGGTTAAGAGCAAAAAGCAGAAAGCTGTTTCATACCAGTCCTGATGTCTTCGCGCAACACGCACGCCCAAGCGCTCATCCGGCTTTTCAGCACTTGGGAGGTGCAGTTCGGCCTCCATTTTTCCGCGTCTCACATTCCCGGCACCGATAACACTGCAGTCGACGCGGGCTTCCGTCGATGGGAGACCCCCACTCATTCACACTTATTCAGCAAGCTGACGCGCGGTTGGGTATTTCCCCGGTCCCACCGAGAATATTCAGCCTCGAGAGCAGTTGGCTCAGTATCTCCGCGAATATTATGTGGCCGAGTCGTCCTACAAGCGAGCTTATAATACTGGGCGATCTTAACGCACCGGCGCGGCATCGACTGGAAGATCACTGTCCCACCAGTAGAGAAACTATCCGCTGGAATTCTGAATTCGTCATTGACGGCGCCCGGGCCGGCTTCAAATCTAACCGACCAGTGCAAGGCTCGACAATCAAGGCGACATTGAGCGGAGTACCCCCATTCCTTCACGGCCGCCGGGTTTACCTTCCCCATCAGCCGCCCACAGGTCCCTATGCTCTTGACAGGCGTGGGCCACCTCGACTCTCCCCACCGCCGCAAGGCTACAGCGTCCATCACCATCTTAGAGTGTTGCGCAGCGTCACTCGACCTCCACGACCCACCAGACCAAACTCCGGGGGGGGGGGGCTGTGTCTTCTTCCTCCTCCGCCTTCCCGAGATCGCGGCAACGACGGGTACATCCTTCCGATGTATTGCGCTCAAGACCGCCGACATCTCAGCAACGAACGCGGCCGGATCACCCACATCCGTATCGAGCTCAGCCCACCCAGTCTGTATTCGCCTCCAAGGGTGGAAGACAAACCAAGGCGAAGCTGCGACCCCACGATGCTGACGCGGTCGGGCACCCCATTCTGTGAGTCTTAGGCGCTCTTCTCCTGCTGCGGTTGCGCGGACAATTGCTTAGGTCAATCCTAGCAGCGAGCTTTTTAGACTGGAGGGGTATCCCATACTGCGTTACCGCCGAGCGCATGGCATCGGCGATCAAGCAAGCCGCATGCGAAATGAGCAAAGTACCTAGCCAATACGGAGCACACTAGCTTCGATAAGGTGGCGCCACGAACATGCATCGCGCAGGGGTCGACGCCCTCACCATCCAGTTCCACGGCGGCTGGACCTCTGATACGTTTACGAGCTACACACGCCCCTGCGGTGTTTCCATTGTCACCGTCGCGGAGAAGATGGCGAGCGGCAGCGGCGGCTCAGCCGCTCTGCAGTAGCGGGAGTGTGTCTACTAACCCATTAATTGGGGGTTGACGCAGCCTGAACCACACGCACGAGCGAAAGCGCGGTAGGCACACTCTCGGGCACTGTAGTAAATTATTTGCCCCAAACCGTCTGTCCTACTAATCGTTGTCAGAGTTGGATACAAGTAGCGAATCCAAGAGAACATTTTACCCGATGAATGGAACCCAATGCTGACTACATTTCCACAAGTGACAGATCCAGTGAGCGACCTTTCACGTCAGACTGCAAGATGCCGACTCAAAGCTGAAAGCGAAAAGTGCTGAGTGCCATTCACAGGGCCTGGAAATGACTCTTTTACCGGCAGCTGAACGGCGATGACGATAACTCCAGTGCAGATGAAGAAGAAAATGAGATAACTACTCTGTATTTTGTCCTGAAATCGAAGCGATATCTTATCCCTCGCCACCGCGTCCCGCGACCACCATCCAGAATTCAATATTACCTACAAGACATGCCTGATGACGGATTCAAGCTCCACTTCTAATTGTCTCGTCCATTCTTTTCGGTAGTTTGCACCCTCATCGCTGACTATCCAGAACTTAAAAGAACACGAGGCAAACAGCAGAAGATGAGTGTCGAGCTGCATCTTTTGGGACTTCTCAAGATACTGGGCTCAACGGATGGTGAAGGTTGTTGGGCCGCTTTCCTGTCGGTATGAGGCCATACACCTGAAGATGTACTAGCGAAAAGGACGATACGTGCGCTAAATAGTTTAAGAGCCAAGGTGATCACATGGCCGGCTTCACAGGAGCGGCGAGAGATCTCTGAGCAAAATTCAAACGGTTTCGACGCTGCCTAAATGTATCGGTTTGATTGACAGGCCGCTTTTCCCTTTGCTACCTGTCCACAAGACCACGAAGAAGACTACGTATCCCGAAAGGCTTCCTACGCTATCAACGGGCTGGTACTCTGTGACGACTTGTGCCGTATTCGATACGAAAAATAGGATGGCCGGGTTCAAGCCACGACAATCGTGTCTGGATAAACTGCAAAGTTGCGTTTAACCAAGACACGTATTTCGATGATGACCAGTACTTACTTGGCGACTCGGCGTACCAGGAGTCGCGGATGGTGGTACCAGCGCTCAAAACCTTGCAAGGCGGTCAACTCGATATCAAAGAAACAATTTCTAACAAGTGCTTGGCTACCATTCGTATTCGCCGGTTTCCATTGCTACAAAGACTGCGCTGTACTTTGCGAAACAAACAAAAAACAAATCAAAGACGCTATCGAATTGATTCGGACGTGTATGATCCTACACAACATGGCTTTTGCAGATTCAATTCCACCTGAATAGATTGAGCGTGAGCCTACTGGTGAAGAAAAAGATGATGATGAATGTGACCCGCTGACCTACGATGGCAACATGGGTACAGAACGGCGTGAGTACTTGCGAAATCTTGTATTTAACAAGCGATTCTAACTTACCATACGGAATCGCCCTTTGAATTATGCTGAAAGGGGAAGGAGCCGGCCCACTTCAGTGAACGAAACACCTCCATCCAGCAGATTTTGACGTGCTAGCAAAAGGTGCACAATGCCCTCACGCTGTGCCGTCTGTAGCTGTATTTGTTTCAATGCTGAGTCGACGTTGGCCTGACCCTACTTCAACCTGACCTCACGCTGATGAAGCTCGAGTTGCGTTTCCTGTATTTGTAGCATACGGTTAGTCTTCTCTGCTCGCTGCTTACACGCCTTACTCTGCTGGCCCAGCAGCCTGTCAACGGGGTCTTTCTTTTGCTGCTTAGGATCTTAGGTTTCCTCGTCGAGAGCCAGCGGTCGCCTCTCCCCTCGTTGTATGATTACACTTGGTGGTGTGACGTTATTCTCCTCGTCATCGATAGAGTCTGAAGTAGCACGAGGTTGGGCGAAGGGGCGAGACTCGAACACACCAACCAGTTTGTAGAAGTTGTGACAGCGCTTGAGGATTTCACCTCACAGAGTCGACCCACTTGTGATGCCTGAGCCGGTTTGTGACTAGAAGTCGATGGCTTCGCGAAAATGCTTTTCAATTGTGTTAATGGTTTTGCGGACGTCACCGGTTGAGCGATGGATAACCCCCATCGCGTTCAGTTTCGCTACGTTTTCTTTTAAAAGCGCTTCCTTGGTAATGCCGCTGTTGCAGTCACTTCCCCTTCACTTGTTGTAGTTGGTCTCTGTAGAGAGCCAATCCAGAACGACCTGAAGCGATGATTTCCCCTCATTTACCCCAGAAGATTGGCTTCTTCTTGGTGCGTACAGTATGGTAGTCTTTGATGTTGTATTGATGTGGCACACGACTTGGATTCCAAGTGATCTCTTGAAAAAAAGCATGGTTGTATTTCAAGAACTTATTGGCCAATGAGGTGTCCATTTTTCTTAGATTCACCACTTGTATCCAACTCTGACAACCACTACTGTCGGAGAAGGAAATGGCGAAAGTATGTTTTCATACAGGCTTGCCGAGGGTCTAAGAACTCTGGATATAAGTATTCAGAGAACACTGAAGTAAATGTTTGTATAATAATAAATACATGTAAAGTAAGATAATAGAAATAGACCAGTGATTTGTGCATGTATTTGATGCGTTAGTGGCAAAAAACTGTCAAGGAGATACCTAATCCGTGAACAGTGGTAAGCTCGCTGTGCTTACTAAAATTTCCTAAAATATAAGCATTTCAAGCTGATACCTACAAACTTCAAGATAAAAAGCGGAATTTGTTTTGAGGTTTTGATCCTAGCATTTAACTAGAGCCGGTTTTTAAAAGGGCGTCAAACTCTTCACAACTGAACGTTCAAGTGGTATTATAATAGTTAAGCGCTAAAGATGTCGTAATGCTCCTTGTTTGTTCGTGAGTGCATGTACAGTGCAGACTACGATAAAGTTGTCGGTGAGCTTGTGGACAATGTAGACTACGATAAAGCTGACCGTGTTTTGACTTATTTATTGTAAAATCCTTAGACGGGATGGCGAGTTATTAATAGACAAGGGCTGGTCCATGATAAGAGCCTGTTCGCGTTGTAGCCAGCTGGTATATCATTTTGCCACAAACTAAAGGGATTAATCCGATAAAATCTTCAGATCACGTCTCCTTCTCCATCTCAAAGATCTGGCTAGCTATTTCCAAATGCGATTTGGTCATCTCCAGGCTGGAGACTCCAGCTACGTAACGAACAGACTCTATTGATGATAACAATAGTATGTTCGATGTGGATGTACAGTTCCATGATCATCTTTGCTTGGTGGCATCCTTGCTATAATTTTGGCGTAATCTTTCCCTCTCTTGCTCACTTTTCAATTTACTCCGTGGTTCCCAAGTCCACCCAAGCCCACCATGCGTGGTTGCTACGTTCTACCAATGGTTGTTGCCCTTCTCTTTGCTGGCATCGAAGATGCTCACGCCAAATTGTTGCCATCCGACGCTGTTCTGGCAATTGGTGATAGTGACCTCATGAAGGTGGGTGTCCTCAAGCTATTTTTACGTAGCCACGAGGCTGTCGAAGAAGATGTGGACCAAGAAGAGCGAAATGTGGGCGCAGCGAAGAAGTTGCTTAATCTGGACGAACTTGACGACGCTCTTCTTAGCCACAAGATTCTCAAGATTATGCTCAAGAAGTGGGAGGCCGCACCTGCAGAAAATGTGCAAGCTGTGATGAAGAAGCTGGAGACCCAGAAATACAACAAGTACAATGAGATTGCAAAAGCTTGGAGGAATCGCCAGCAGGACAAAGTCGTGAGCGGGTTTCCTGTCAGCTACGTGGGTCTGGACGACCTGCTTAACCCGGAGACGCTGTCGAAGGCTCTTAAGAATGCAAATGGCGACATGGAATACTTCACGAAATTGATGGCAGCATCCGATGAAAACAGGAAAGCCGCTGTTAAGATCCTGGCCGCGGATTCAGAGTACAAATCCCTTGTACGCGGATTGGAATATGATCTGCTTTGAAGAAGGTACACAGTTATTTCGGTTTTGTTGAGATGGACTATATTTTTGAGAGGGACCACTAGAATTGTACTGTGCTAGAAGTAACTTACTGATCGTTAGGCAACGGAAATGAAAAAAAATGTCTCCAGCAAATTGCAATCAACGCATGTAACCCGATCTTATCATAACAGCAATGAGGAACCAACACAGAATTTACAGTCAGTACGTGCTTTCTACCGTTTCGGGTCGGAAACTATTTATTGAAGGGACAAATACACAAGACTCGAAATGTTGATGTTGAGTACAGCCATCATCATGAACACAACTCCTAAAAAAGTGCTGCGACTTTCAATCCGCGCAAAATTGATCCCTGTTGCCATCTCCACCACAACGCACACGTAGTCGACGAAGATCTCCACCACGAACTGGAATCCAAGCATAGCCACTTGATTGAGCCCCCAGTTCGCGACATCTTCCGGACTCATCACACCGCTTGTGTCCAGCTGTAGTGCTGGGTAAAAAGGGTGGCCAGACCACCAGAAAATGATCGATTGGGAGCAACCGATCGCGATATACTCGGCATACATATCAGCAGTCAATTCCGCCGTATGGTACGAAATAATCTGTCGTTTCCACAGGTCGAGCTCGAGTTTCAAGGACGCCGCAGAGCGAGTTTCTGATTGCTTACTACTAGCTGATAGCTCCAGTATTTCCGCTTCAACAGCAGTAGCTCGACGTCGAATAGCACGCGCAACATACGCAGCTTTCCCAGCACGAAGACACAACTCAGCGACAGCCATCGCACACGTCCCCGCTACAAGAAACGAGTTGGTTTGGGTGCCTAATAACACGATCCGTGACTGCGTATCAATTAAGACAGTCGGTAGTCCCACTAGAAGACACATGGTACGGATCCCTCGGATTTTTTTCTTAAGAATATAATATTTGGCAGCTTCTTGAATTGCGAGTTTCAAGGCAACCCCGACCATTGTAAAGCTCATAATCACAAGTGTTCCTTGATTCAGTACACCATACCAAGACACAACGTGAACAAACGCACCACCAATTGTCATCAGGATCGCAATGGGAAAGTGTGCGATGTATTCGCGCCAGAAGGTAGTAGATTTCTGGACTTGGTGAGTCTGAGAGGTACCGGATAATATTACAGTAGAGCCCGAAATTCCACCTACCATTCCTCGTCCTCCGTGATTTTGATTGGTCTCTTTTTCATAAATATCTTTCGCCGCGATCGCGATGCCTGCGGTGAATACCATATTGACCAGGACACCGATGTAAAAGTGAAGTTTATACCGGAGAAGATGCTTCATTAGAGACGTATTCTGGATGAGAAGACCAGTTCCGACCATGCCACTTAATGATACAACAAAGTACGGGATTGTACCCTTGACGAGCTTCTTCAAACAAAAAAAGAGACTGGGTTTGTAATCTGGACGCCCACCGATGCGTTGCGTCATCATAGAAGGCAAATAGGCTGCCGTCATCTTAATAGCGTGTACTATAGCGGTCCAAACCAATGTGGCCATGAGAAATTCTTGCTGAGATTGGTTCTTGGAAAGCTTGAGCGAGAAAATATTACCCGTATAGAAGCAGCCATTGGCCAATACTGCAGCAATGACACACCCGATTGTGTTGCGAAACATCAGTAATTGCAGCTTGGCTGCTGGTCGCCATTGTAGTTGGAGACGTAAATGACTGCTGTAGCGATATAGCTGGGTGTGCTCAGCTTGAGGGAGCAACGTAATCGCCGATTTAGAGATAATCGCGTCTCGTATGGGTTGATCAGGAGCGACGGAAGAGGTGAAGGACGGACGCAGTGGAGCGACCGATGAAGAGAAGGACGGACGAGTTGGGGCGATGCGGGAGCTCGCGAGTTTCGGGACCAGGGACGTCATTTCGAGCTTGTATCTATAGTAATCAGGTATTACTCGAAATAGCAGGATGGACGGAGCTAGTACTGTACGCACGCCCATTTTTAGAACTTACGTACGTACATATGCGTCACTCGAGTAGTATTAATACGTGCATGTAGTTGATATATACGGTTTTACACTAACATAAACGTGGCTACTAGTGATCCTCATGTCAGATAGCAAAAATTTTATGTAGGTTGAGAGGTTTATTAAATATGAATCAGTCTAACTCCATCGATATACTACACATGGTACGCCACAAAGCAGTTAGGAATAAACAACGGAAAGGTGTATCATGCATACGGACATAATACGGATGATTGTTTGAATTTTGGGCAGGTTGTGCCGACAGAAAAGAGACTACTCCTTGGACCGATGGAACCAAGACCAGCAAGCTGGAGTTGGCACTGGATCGTATTTTTTATTTAAACAAGAGCAGTATAATAACACTTTCATTTAAATTAGGGCTTTAAAACCCCTTAGTTGAAACTTTCAAATTCTAAGTTATATCACAAGCACTGAATTTCAGAGCCCTTGTTGAAAATGACCTAACAACAGGACTAAAATAAAAAATCATCGGTACGCTACCGGTATGATGCTTAGCGTACTTTTGCGTACTATCTCGGTACTGCAGATCTTGTACGAATAACTTAAGGTCGTTAGCTCATTTAGCTCGTAATTAATTGTTTCCCACGTTTGTTCGTGGAGCAGATAAGTACACGACACTAGAAATATTGATGTTGAGCACGGCCATCATCATGAAAATGACTCCTAAAAAGGTGCTGCGACTCTTGATCCGCGCAAAATCGATCCCTGCCGCCATCTCCACCACGACGCACACGTAGTCGACGAAGATTTCCACCACGAACTGGAATCCAAGCATAGATACTTGATTAAACCTCCACTTGGCGACATCTCCCGGACTCATCCCACCGCCTGTTTCTAGCTGCAAAGCCGGGTAGAAAGGGTGGCCAGACCACCAGAAAATGATCGATTGGGAGCAACCGATCGCGATATACTCGGCATACATATCAGCAGTCAATTCCGCCGTATGGTACGAAATAATCTGTCGTTTCCACAGGTCGAACTCGAGTTTCAAGGACGACACAGAGCGAGTTTCTGATTGCTTACTACTAGCTGATAGCTCCAGTATTTCCGCTTCAACAGCAGTAGCTCGACGTCGAATAGAGCGCGCAACATACGCAGCTTTCCCAGCACGAAGACACAACTCAGCGACAGCCATCGCACACGTCCCCGCTACAAGAAACGAGTTTGTTTGGGTGCCTAATAACACGATGCGTGACTGGGTATCAATTAAGACAGTCGGCAGTCCCACTAGCAGACACATCGTACGGATCCCTCGGATTTTTTTCTTAAGAATATAATATTTGGCAGCCTCTTGAATCGCGAGTTTCGCTGTAATTCCCAGCATGGCAAAACTCATAATCACCAGTTTCTCTTGATTCAGTACACCATACCAAGACACAGCGTGAACAAACGCCCCACAGAGTGCGATATGGACGGCATGTGGGAACTGGACCAGATATTCGCGCCAGAAGCTCGTAGGGCGATAATTCGGGGCTCGATGGATCCGAGAAGTAGCGGAAAGTTTACTCGAAATGACACGTAACGCACCGCGACGACCATGGCCTTGGTTGGTCTCTTTCGTGTAGATTTTTCTCGCTGCTACTGCGATGCCTGCTGTGAAGACGAGATTAAACAAATTGCCCATGTAAAAGTGCAGTTTAAACGCGAAAAGATCAGTCATCAGTGACGTATTCTGGACGAGTAATCCGGTACCGATCATGCCAGATAATGAGACAATAAAGTACGGACAGGTCCCTCTGACGAGCTTCTTGAAGCAGAAAAAGAGACTGGGGTTATAGTCGGGGAACTCGAGGAATTTCTGCGTCATCATAGACGGCAAATAGGCTGCTGTCATCTTGACCGCATGCACAAACGCAGTCCAAATTAATGTAGCCATGAGAAATTCCGGTTGAGATTGGTGTGCAGAAGACTGGGACGAGAAAATATTGCCCGAGTAGAAGCACCCATTGGCCAAAACTGCGGCAATCACACACCCGATAGTGTTGCGAAACATCAATAATTGCAGCTTGGCTGCTGGTCGCCATTGTAGTTTAGTCCGAATCTGACTACTGTAGCGAGGCAGCTGTCTGTTGTCGGGTCGAGAGACTAGTGCAATCGCCGATTTAGTGACGACCGCGTCTCTTATAGGCTGCTCTGGAGAGACGGAAGAGGTGAAAGATGGACGAAGAGCACTGGCGGATGAAGAGAAGGACGGAGCGATACGAGAACCTGCGAGTACCGGATGGGACGCCATGGTTGAAATTGAGGAATGACCAAAATAGAAAACTATATTTTTCTGTTTATAAATGAGTTATGTGTGAAAAAAGTATATTTTATTATGTTTGTTTTCTTAAGTTACAATGTGAATCTTCGATCGAAACAAAGAATCCAGAGCGATTAATTTATCTCAACATTATCTAAGCTAATTCTTGATACTAAAAGTCGTACAGTGTCGCTTCTAGTCGCTCGTGCTATGATGTTGAAACGACCCGCCGCTTGGGTCTCAGACGAGAAACTGCAGTCTCTTCAAGCTCTCGGGACAAGGAGCGAAGGATGCCGACGCATGTTGCGGCGGGCTCTCGTGCTCAGGACGTAAAATCCACGGATCATTCGCATCGGGAGATGGTCTGTAATCTGCTGACGCAGATTTTTCTGCTAGCTGAACGTACTCGAGCGTCCAAGCGGTCGATATCTGAGGAAGAATCCGAGCCGATTACTCTCATTGAGCTGATCCAAGCGTCCTACTTGGTATTCGAGCGCTACGGCATCGGTCCTCCTGACGACGCAGTGTATCATCGATATCTACTGTCACTATCCATTAATCCGGAACGAGATTGGCGCAAGAAGATTCTCAACTTGGATTTAGGCACGCAACCGAAGGTTAAACGACTGTGTTCCGGACATCGACATGCGGATATAACACTGGATTCTGGTGCAAAAAGACGACAAAACACGGAATCCAAGCTCCATGCTGTTCGTCGAGCGTCGTTGGTCTCCAATCTCTCGACGTCCGAGCGAAAATCCACGTTTAAATCTGGATTTATCCCGAAAAAACTGCGAGAACATGATCGATTCGGCGACATGTTGGCACTGGATTCTCCCATCCAGAGAATTCCCGAGGCAAATCACGTTTCTCCTATGCCACGGACGGCGGATAACAGCGCAGAACGCGGACTCCAGGTGATGCAATGGGTGAATCAAAGGAAAATCCAAGACCAGCATGCACATAAAATCCAGATCTTGACGTGGTGTACACACGCGATTTTCCACTGGGTCACCTTGTGTTTACCCGAGAAGATCGATTTCCACATGACCGAGAGCCCTCGAGCGCTTCCTCTGTGTATTTTACGCAGAATCTCCGTTGATGTGAAAAATCTGAAGAAATCTGCGAAAAGAATCTGGATCTGGCAGATGAAGACGCTGTTGAATACTTGGCGTCAAGACGCGCAGAAGATTAAATCTTTTCGAGTTCGTACGATGATCAAGCGACGTTCTACTGTCCTGGAGACTGCTTTCCAGTGTATTCAGAGCTGGAGATTGTTCACTGAGGCCAAAAAGTGCTCAAAGGACCGAGCACAATGGATTTTTCAGCGTCAATGTCGCTCCAGTTTGAGACTCCGTTTATCGCATTGGAGACGCGTGTTCTGGGTGAAAAACCAATATCATCAAGCCGAAAGACACCGTGACAGTTATCAGAAGCGACACGTGCTGAAAATCTGGCGAATTAACGTAAAATCCATCAGGGAAGCAAGAAAGCGTCTTGAAATCGCCCGAAAACGCCGATTTTTTTCACGTTGGAAACGAGAAAAGGCCCGAAAACAAGCCCATCGAGCGCTGCTTTGTATGTGCTCAGACCAGCGCAGACTGCGTTCGTTAAGTATTGCGTGGGATAAATTACGCATGAATATCTCCCGAAATGAGACGGCACGAACGAGGTTAAATCTGTGGGAAGAATCTTCATGCCACCGACGGAAAATCCAGATATTTCGACTTTGGAAAAAGACGATCGACCAGCTAAAAGATTTTCGCGAGCGAGAAAAGCGCTTTCTTCAATTTTCAGCACGTCGTCGTCTGAGTCAAAGCTTCGCAGTGTGGGCGGCGTGGACGGATAATCGAGTGACTACAGCGCAGATATTATCCGATGTGACGGAAGTTCGTGTGAGTAAACAGATTTCTTGTTATTTTGCAGCATGGAAGGAACATTTCAAGCAATCGTCACATTTTGAGGAAGAAATTGTCGCTCGGGTGGCTAATTTGAGACGGAAACGAGTGTGGAATCTCTGGATAATGAGCACAAGAACTCGTAGTGCGACGCGCATCTTGGATTCTGCATATGCGCTTCATGTATTGGCTTCGATTTTCTCCAATTGGAAGCAATATGTGACGAAGAAAGCAGAAGTTGATTCTGCTTTTTTGGAGTGTCAGGAGCGTCACAAACTCAGCGTACTAAAAATCCATTGGATATTTCTAGTGGATAATATGCAGTCGCAACACGACAAACTACACGCAACTGAGAGCTTCAGAACGAGAAAATCCGTGGAAGGAAAGCGAGTGTTTCTGTCAGCTTGGTACGCTTTATATAGTCGGAAAAAGGCGTGTCGTCTCCGTGGAGAACAGCTGCAATATTCAATCCAACGTCGTAATGTGATGCAGTCAATGTGGATTTTATGGAGACGGATATTCTACTTAAAATCTGCTGCTCGACTAGCTGACATTCAGCTCCAAAACTACACAAAATCCAACAGATTCCGCCTATGGAAACACTATGTGGTTATATCCACACAGCGACGCGAACGAGTGTTTAAAGTCGTGAAAACGCTGGATAAAATCCACACTAAAATCTACTTTCGACAGTGGACAAACCTTCTCTTACTAAAGCACCAACAAGCGAGAAAATCCGAAATTATCCAGCAAGCGACTCAAACAAGACTTTTAACTTCTCGATGGCAGACTTGGAGACGCGCTCTGGAGACCAAACGAGGACAGCGAAAACGACTTTCGGCGGTGGCTTTAAGGTGGCAAAACCGACAGATTTTTGCCAGTTTTTACTGCTGGAAGGCCACGTGGAATATCCGTAAGCGACATCGCTATCTGCTTCAATCCACGTTGCTAACATCGAATCACCGGGTCTTGAAGTGTTTTTTCACGTCGTGGAAAAAGCGTTTTCGCGCTTCAACCGCGTTAAAACTGCGGGCCGTTGAGATACAAGATAAAATCCTGTGGTTTAAAGTAAAGCGAGCGCTTCGACGTTGGATTTTTCTTCGATTAGCGCAGCTTAAACGTCGAGAGATGGTGGTAAAATCTCTGGAGTTGTGGCGTCGAAACCGACTTTTAACGACGTTTAACCACATTGTGAATTATACTCAAAAACGCAAGAATAAAACGCGTCAAAACCAACGCGTGCGGTCGCGTTATCGCTCCCTATTGATGCGAAAAATCTTCGCTGCGTGGACGAAAATATCACGAAATAAGGCGAAAATAACGCGACAATTGGAGACTGCGACACATCGACTGAACGTGTTAAAGATGACGCGTGTGATTCAAGAGTTAAAACACAATTCTCGTTTAAACAAACGTCTAAGAACAGTCCAACTGTGCGTCGTATCGATGCACTCTGGACACGCTAAAGGCGCGATTTTCGCGAGATGGACAGATTTTATCGTTCAGAAACACAAAAATCACAATAGCGGCGCAGTTCGAGTGGGGGAGATGAGGGATTTTCGCGCACGAAGACGCATCAGGAGATGGATACAGTTTGTTCAAGTGCGAAAAATGTTAAAGCAGAAATTTGCACGTGCTGTGAAAGTCACGACAGCTTCACGGCTACAATTTCACTTCGCGAGTTGGAAGAATTTTGTGAAACGACAGATTTTCACGAAACATTTGAAACATAAAGCTGTCGTGTTCCGCTATTTTTGCCTATTACCGCTATATTTCAACGCCTGGAGGTCGGTTCTAAGCGGAAAGAAACACAAGCAAGAGCTGCTGCTTCGAGCTCGAGGACTTTGGTGTCTTCAAAGTGAAAGTCGCGCGCTTAAAACCTGGCGTTTGTATGCTTTTACCCGTCGCCAGACCAAATTTGCTGTTACGAAATGGAAAAATCAACTCGTTCTCAGAAACTTTACCGCTTGGAAACGCTATCAAAAGCTCCGAAAGAAGACAAATCGCGACCGGATTCGAGCTCTAAATTTCTACGAACGTCGAACTTACCGTAAAGTTTTAGAGAATTGGAGTGTAACGGCGCGACACGATCGATTGACGCGGAATTGCGCCGAAATGTGGAGCCAGAACACGTCGCGTCGAGCTTTTAGTACGTGGAATCAGCACGTAAAATCGCGGCTATCCTGTCGCAAATTTCTGGTCAAAATGCGATTTTTAACGCTGTCTCGAGTATTTTCAGCATGGCACGAGGAAATGGAGCAGAAAAAGCGACAATTACAGGGAATCCAGGAACGTTTTGCGTTATTATGGATGGAGAATACGAAACAACGTGTTTTTACACGCTGGAAACGCTACACTCGTATTCGTGGTTTTACCAGGGCGAAAATCGACGGGAAACGTAAATTTTTACTTCGAAATATTGTGAAACAGTGGAGACATGTTGCTGTGTTTCGACGACGATCTCGAAATTGTGCGTTGGTGGTGGCTGCCCGAGTAAAGTTGACTTTATTGTGCCGAATCTGGAGTATTTGGCGTCAAAAAGCTCGGATTTTTCGCTGCGTGAAGAGTTTAAACAGTAAAGTGACGAAAAACCGCGTTATTTCAGATCTTCGTCATCGAATTCGGCGCTGGCAAACGTTTACAATTCTCTCACTCGCAGTGGGAAAGTTTATGCGTTGTTGCGATCTAGAGCTCCTGCGATTGGCTTTTATCGACGGGTTTAAACGTTTTAACGTGATGAAACAAAAGGAGCGAGCGCTGACGAAGCAAATTCAAGGTGTACACGAAGCCTATTCGAAAGAGTGGCTGGCAAGGAAAGTGCAACACCGAATGTCGATTGTTACAGCGTGTGAATTGTTACGTCGGGTAGGGAGCTCTAATAAGTTACTTAGAGTATCGTGGAGTGCGTGGGTGGATTTTCACGCTAACAAGCAGCGTCAACAGGCCTCTATTCGGAAATTACGAGGACGGATTTTTAGTCTGGAAGAGCAGGAGAGTGTTCTTGATCGTAACATGATTTCTGGAATGTTACGTCGCTGGCGAAGTATTCAAGTTACGCGAGTGTTGGAGCATTGGCGTGCCGTAACTTTAACCCGGAAACAAGTGAGGGTGCACACTCTAATGGCGATACAGGGGTGGGTTCAGATGCTGTATCGACGGCATTTTAGAGGGTGGAATCGCTTCTGTCAGCGACGGAAAACGCAGCGACAGATCCGTAGCATGAATGTTACGTCCAGGACAAAACGAGTGTGGGAACTCTGGCAGGCGTTTAGAGTTGCCTCGATCCGTAAGAGATCACGAACGCAAAAAATCCGCGGATTTCACGCTAGTCGCGTGTATCGACACGCGTTTGAGACGTGGCGAGAAGCTGCGACGTGTCTGCGGCTACGACGTGAACAGATTCTAGAGCTTTACCACTCGTCACGGCTCCGTCTTCTCGCTGCGTTGCTGAGCGAGTGGCGAAAATCTGCAGCAATGGAGAAAACTAGAAGAATCCAAAACACCATTGCGCGTGTCGTGTACGATCAAAAGTTGGTAAGCCAAAACTTTAACGAGTGGAAAAGTAATGTCTCCGCTATTATCTACCATCGTCATCAGCTGCAGATCAACACTGAGAGGCTTCAAGTTCTTCTTCTCTGTTCTTCGTTCCGAGCTTGGCATTCCTGGAGTATCCAGACAAAAAAGTTAAAATCTATCCTGCAGATATTATCTACGAAATGTGACGTGAACGCTGCTTCTCGAGTCCTCTCAGCATGGCATTTACACGTCGAAATGAACACTAGACGTCGACATCTAGCGTCATCTTTCTTACGTTTTCGTCGGATGCAGAAAGGAGTTAGAGCGCTGCGAAATCTAGCTCACAAGCACGAATATCTACGTAAAATCCGTCACAAAGCTCAGCTTTTTAGAGTGTCAATATCCGGCGATCAAATGTTGAAGATTGTTTCACGATGGAAGCGAATGGCTACATTATCACGAGAAACACGAATTGTTACCTTGCGCTATCTCCAGAACAAGCTGCTGCCTGCTGCGTGGCGTGGCTGGCTGGATTTTATCCAGACGAAACGTGAGGCCAGAGATAGAACTCGAACCGCGACGTTAAGCTGGAAAAATACGGTCCTTCGCAAGGCTTGGAACGCGTTTATTCTCGTCTATAACGTGGAAAAACAACGTCACGACATGCTGCTACGTGCGGATATTCATTTTTGCAGTCGTCGACTTAAGAAAACGCTGGATTTTTGGCTAAAATCCAGCGTCGAGACCCGACTTTTTCGCTCTGTTTGTGGCAAACTCGTGGCTCGATGGCGAATGCAGACAGCGTATCGATGTTTCAACGCCTTAAACGACTTTAAAAGTTACAGAAAAAATCTACGAGCGAGTGAAAATACGGTAACAATTAGAGTACGCACCACTGCGCTGCTGAAAATATGGTACGCGTGGCGGAAACTGCTCTTGATCTCGAGATCCTGTAAGTTACGAATGTTACAGCGCTACTGGCGATCTTGGGTCCGTTTACGGGAGTCTCGAAAGGCTCTTAAGGGGTTCCAAGAGCAGATTCTAGCCCAAGTGCTGAAAAGTACACAACGTCGAGTTATAGCGAGGTGGAAACAGTTTGTTACGACGCGGAAACTGGAGAAAACGATGGTGTTCAAGTCCGCTGCATTTGCTGAAACACAGATTTTGAAGCGGACATGGCAGTGCTGGGTGAATTACGTTGCGTATACTAATGAGGTTAAATCACGGATGAAACACGCGTTAAAACACATGCAGCTCCAGCTTCAGTTTAAAGCTTTCGGCGCTTTTCAAGCGTTCACGTTGATGCAGAAGTGGATAAAACATGCTGATAGTCGTGTTTCAACGTTTCGGTTTCATCGTTTAAACACACGCTACTTTATCACGTGGAAAACAGCTGTCAAATACCAGATTTCCCTACGTCGAAAACTCGCGCTCTACTTGAATGTTACGCATCATTCCGTCCAGAAGAAAAGTTTCAGTGCATGGCTGTTCTATGCCACTCGACGTAAAATGTTACGAGCAAAAGTGTCACAATCACTGGCGATACGTACACAAACGGGTTATCGTCTGGTTATTCCAGACATGGCGA